GGCAAAGAGTGATATGACGCTAGACAACGACGAAGCAAAAAGAAAGGTTCGAATCCAAGAAGCTGAGACATACCTAAACATCAATGGAGGACGAAGAAACAGAGAGACGAAAAGAGGTTTTGCAAAATGAAAAGCTGTTGATTTGGAGACTTTCAAGGTATTTTTGGATATGTTTGGAGTTGAAAACGTCGTCGTTTAAGCGTGAGTGGGAAAAGATGTTGCAACTAACCCGTCCTTACTAAAGAATACTAGAGGATATCCCGCGTATACACGCGGATTTTTTTATTGGTAACTGTTTTAATTTATATGAATTGTGTATCTATTCTCTAAGAACTCTTAGCTCTTGATTCACGATTTTGTATCTCTTTGTATAAGAAACCAGTCTTATTCTCGAAGTCAAAATTATAGAGATGCCTTCATCTACGAAAAGTCTTTCTGTGTTCTCAAAGGATGCAAATCAGTAAATCCAAAATATAAATATCATTTAAGAAAATAAACAATTTAGGATTCCAAATTGTTTCTCGAACTATCGTTACATCTAATACACAACCGGATCAACAAAATGAATCAACTGGTGGAACATACAGAAAAAGAACACATAACAACGATCCAGTTATATTTTTCTCAAACAAAAAACAATTATCCAGTTATAATAAGTATTTACGTGAAGGCCAATGAAGATAAGATAAGCCAAATCATTCCATGTATATAAGGGATCTTATATAGCTAAACAAAAACAGATGTATATAAGAAAGAAGTATTTGTTTTTACCCTAACATACACTAAACAACTAACGAATCTTGATTAACACCACTAATTACGTAGCTATGTTGAATTTGTAACAAATTGTGGCAAAATTGCCATATACTTAGGTGTTTTAACAATAATCAAATCACGTCAACTCCACCTCTGCAATAAATGTACTGATTTTTTCATTAAAAATAACATGGTCTCAGATTCCATCATATATGCATGGAAACATTTTATTAGGTCTAAACCAATATGTGAAGTAGTATACCATTGAGTTCATAGTTAATTCTAAGTTGAGATAACCAAAAGTTATGGGAGATGAAGACCAACCCAAAATCACAAAACTATCCAGAGTATGATTAACCTATAAGGCTATAACCCATAAATATCCATCCAATCCCATTCTAGCAAAAAATAAAACTACTGAACAAAAAAGAAAAATTAACTATCTGCATCACTTTATATGAAAAATGTTTTCTAATCACTTCATATGGAATAGGGTACTAATACAATTTCCTTTTAGAAAACCGATGTGAATGATAGAATAGGAAAACTCATTATGTAATGATGTTAAATTAATTCATTGTAGTCGAGCACATTAGGAAAGTCGATAACGATCACCTTATTTTTATCAGTGGCGTATCTACTGACCGACCCCAAAGCCTCTTCTTCCTCCGTCTCGGAGTAGTCGCGTACCACCGTCGCATCGTCAGCAGTTCCCAATCGCAACTCTTACTCACAACCCTTAATCTATTATATAATTAGAGAGTTTTCTCTCCATCTAAAGTGTCTATATAGGCAAAAATATTATA